TAATAAATAATAATAAAAACTTAGTTAACTAACCCGTAAACTACCCTCTATATCTTCGTACTCTGCTTTATGTTTTTTTTTTGTTTAACAGAACTCAAGACATAGTCTATTATTTATTTAATAGAACTCAAGACATGATTCAGAGCAATATTTATACTTTAGAAAGAGGATGATGAGTGGCTAGAACAATGGGCAAAGAGAATAATAATTGGCTGGAACAATGCAGTTTCTTCCCTCTGTTCTAGTTTAATTTTTTTCTACTTTTTCTTCTTCTTGGTATTAGTTTTTTCTAATATTTTAGTTCTTCATCTTTCTTTGCTCTATTCTCTTCTTCTTTCTCAGATCTCTCCTAGATAAAATGTTCTCTTAATTTTTTTGTCTCCCAAAAAACTTGTTCTTTTTTCTTAAAAATTTTTGCTTTCTAAAAAAAAAAAACCCTCCATTCCTTTCTCTTTTTTAAGATTTTATATTGGGTACATTTAAATTTTTTATAAAACACTAAAGGTACAAAATTTTTCCTTTTTCATGTTTTGATATTGGAGTCTCAACTTACCGGTCTCTTGTTTTTTTTAAAAAAATTTTTATTTTTCTGTAAAACAATTTTATTTTATTTATTTTATTTTTAAAAAAATTAGAGGTAATCTCTTTAGGTAAGAATTGGTATTCACATTCCATCTTCTATTCCTTCTAGTTCTTTTCTCAATTCGTCTAATGCTCCTTTAATTTTTTAGTTTTCTTGTTGATGCTCTTCTGTTTTTTTTTTTCCTATCTATTTTTGTTCTTTTTCTCTTCGTTCTCCCTTTCTTCAACTTCGTTTTTCCCAGTTCAGTTTCCTTTATTTTTATGCTATCTTGTCCTTTGTCAAGAAGGCAAAATTGTAATCCCCATTCCTATTTTTACACATAAAAACTGACATTTGTCATTAGTTGAAAATTTTTAAATTTTTCAGTTAAAGGTTGAGTTAATTTTTTACTTTCTTGAATAGTTCAGTAGATTGGAACAATTTAGATCAATCAGTTCATTGAACATCCTTAATTAATTGAACACGTTAAAAATCAAATTTAGTTGAGTTGTCTAGATGAAAAATATTTCCGTACAAAGCAATCAAACAATGAAACAACGATAATCCAGTTTGGTTAACCAATAAATTTGGTAACGATGAAATGTCCAAAAAGAGAAAGTTGAATCATCCCCTGAACCACACCCCATTCCCGGTTCCGTTTAATTCACAAAATCGCAGTTTACATACTTAAGCTGAATGAATTTGGTTGTCTTTTTTCCCCCAGCAAGAGAATCATTCGAAAAAGGTCACAACTTCACCCGAAAAAAGGAGAAAATAAACCCAAGCTCCACCTATCACCATCCCTTATTTTAAAAGATATAACCTGAAATTTGGATTATCCAATGGCTCTTAATTAGCAACCCCTTCTTTAGAGTAATTAGGCTTCCAGATTTGATAAGGATGGATTCTTCAGGTTTCCAATTTTAAAAATAAGCAGTTTAGTTTTTTTTACTTACTCTGTAAATTATTTTTTACTTAATCTCAAAATAAAATATTTCAAATTTTATCAAATCTCACTAAATTTTCTAATTCTAAATTTTAAAAATTGTTTCATATCCTAAAGCCATCATTACTTCATAAATATTTACATTAAAAATAATAATTTAAATAGTTGAAGTAAATAAAAAGTTACAATTGACCAAATTTACTTAAAGCCGGCAAATGAGACATAAAAGAGCTTTTTAATCTTAATCCATACCATTCCTGAATAAAATGGACCAAAATAACGAGGATTGAAAGCTGACTTGGAGATCAAGTTCACGTTGTTTGAAAAAAGATTTTGTAAAACTTACTATTTTTTTTTATACGAACTCTTTTGAATAGTTCGTTAATGAAAATTTTAGAGAATATTTAGTTGATTCTCACTTTTTAATTTTTGGTGAGTTATTAGACTTTTTAACCTATAAAACTTTTTGGTTTTAACCCACGTGAGCTGGAGTACTTAAAACTGAACTAAATAAACTTTTTGACGACTCTAAATTTACTTAACTTTAAAATTAAATAAACTTAAATAACTAAAAAAATCTAAACTTACACATAATCTAAATTAAAGAAACAAAAATGTAACCAAGCCTTTTGTTATTCTTTAAAAATGTATTTAAAGTGTAATCTGGATAAAAAGCAAATTACAACATACCATAGGCTTTTCTTTCAGTTACATTCATTTCCTTTGGTTCATTGGTTTTAAAGTTAAATAATTCTACACGTACGGACACTTTGCCATTCTCTTTATTGACTTTGGGAAAAATTCGAACATAAGGTCAGAAAGTCTAATTGTTGTGTAAAAGATTCGACCAACTACTTCACCATGGAGCAGTATTTGGTTGCTGAGATTGAAATTTAAAACTTTAGTGGGGGGAATAATATCCCATGCGTAACAGTCACACCTCCCCATGAACATGTAATTATTATGTATTATTGTCTTCATAAGTTATCCAGTTAGTGTGACTTCTAGTCTTTTTAGTTTATAATCATACCTACCTGTCAATTAATTGACAAATTCCACAAGAACATTCACCACTTCAGCCCTCATTTTTTATCCTCCCTCTTAATTATTAAGAAACTGTGTTTGTTTTTACTAAGAAAACTCTCATGTTCTCTTTAAACCAAATATTTACACACATCTATATCTAGCAATTCATAGTTATCACTTTCGCATATATAATCATGTTAGTGTCATATTGAAGCCACTACACTCTCTTTTGATGATGAGTGAAAAAGGAAAGAAATAAAGTAAGGGAATAAGAATAATATACATATATATAAAAGGAAAAATACAGAAAAATTATATTATTTAAATGAATAAAAAAATCACTTATTTGATTGTAGAAGAGATAATTAAAAAATCATAAATATTCTTATATTAATTTAAAAATGAAATTTATCTTTAAAAATCTAATTTTTTATGCTATAAAAAAAGATTTTGTTTTCAAAAAGTTGTACTACCTCACAGATTCACAGTTCCTAATTATGTAATTTTCATTCGTGAGCGTCTTATACCTCGCCCGTGTGTCCAATGTCGTACGTCACAGGGATTTTGTACGCTAATGTTAAATCTGATTATTAAATTTAAGTAATTGACTTTTCATATGTTAATTTCTCTATTATGGACATGGATACTTCATGCGTACTTGGACTTAATTTTTATATAGAGAAAATTAATTATATTTATTATAATTAATAATATAAATTATAAAATATAAATTTTATTATTAATTAATTTTTATTATAAATTTAATTCATAAATTATAAATTTAATTAAAATTTATTAATATGATAAAATATTTTTTATATTATTATTTATTATCATATTATCTTATTAGTGAAAATATTAATTTTTATAATAATTATTTTAAAATTTATATATGTTATATATATCAATTGATTGTATAAAAAAATAATAATGATACATTAAAATTATACTCATAAATTATTTCATATTTAGTTCTTATATATATATATATATATATATATATATATATATATATATATATATAAGATTAACTTCTCTCTTACCTAAAAATTTAAATAAAACTTAATTTATATTATGTTTTAAAAAATATATAATAAAATATTTTTATTATTAATTTAATGAATAATTTTTATATAATGGTAAAATTTTAAATTATTATATCATAAATAAATATTTTATTTTTTAATATTATAATTATAATATTATATTATACTAATAATAATAATAAGAAGAAGAAGAAAATAAAATAGTAATCAAAATTGAGATTCAATTTTACAATAGACGGTATATGTATAGTTTTCTATCCTCATTTATATCCTAATATCATTTTTATTTGAACTAATGATTTGAACTTAATGCATTTAACTTGCATTGGATCACTTGAAGTTCAATGCTCACACAATAATTTCATACTTTTTTTTTTTTTTGCTTTAGCCATAAAATAGGTCTAGTAGATTATTTTAAACTTCCACATTAATAAGCGAATACGTAAAATATGCTAAAACATTTTAATAACTCCAATTTTATTTTAAAAAAATAAAAATTACTAAATAATTTTAGAAAAAAAAAATTATGGGAAATGTCGGTCTTTTGTTAAAATACTCATATTTAACTTAACAAAAAAATTATGTAGCCTATTAAATAAATGAAATGACATAAATAATTTTTCATATAAAATAGTTTTTATTTATTTATTTTTTGTCAAATTAGTTCCTAAAATTTGAATTTAATATTTGGATATATGTAAATTGACTTGAGTAATTTTTTTAAGAGCATATTTAGTTGAAAAAAAATCTTTTACAAAAACTATTGATATGTTGAAAATTACATATGTCATCTCAATTAATTATTAGCCTAAAAATGCAATATTGTTAAGTAAAACGTGCTTTTTTTTAATAATGATATCTTTTTTGATGATTTTATTTAACTCAAACAAAATTATTTTTTTTAAAGATAGATGTAGTGTAAAAAAAAATAATATTTTTAACAGAAAAACTAATTCTCCTTGTAAAAATATAAAAAAATATTTAATAATATTTAATTTTTCAGAAACTAAATTTAGTCTAACAAAATATTTTAAGTATTAATTTGGATATTTAATCTTAATAATATTTAGAATATAAAATAATTGTTTTTTACAAAAGATACTTATAATAAATTATTACACAATCTTTATTTTTTCTTCCATTTACAACCATACACACATATATATATATATATGGTTGTAAATGGAAGAAAAAATAAATTTAATATATAAAACAAAAGTATACATGCGATTGGTGATCAAAAAAATAAATCAATCATGCATGCAAAAGTAGAAATAATGGAAAAATACGTAGTACTTAAAAAGAGGAAGTGGAGAAAGTGATACACCAACTAATTAGTTTTGTCCCATCCATTTTATACGGAAGCATAGGATATATATAAAGTGGCCAATCAGTTGCGAACTCTTGAGGAAATCTTACACCATGACAAAACAGAGCCATAGAAGGAAAGAGAGCTATCTAAGCAGGTACATGAAGGCACCCTTCAGGTTCCTAATGAAGGCAAGGGACATGTACGTACGAGGCATGATCGAGTGCTCCACCCACTTCTCCTACGTCAACGTTTCCATGGGATGTCCCTCTGGCCAGGTCTGTACCCTTCCTAGAAGCTTTAGCGTTAACTCAGAGACCAACGATGATGATTTCAATGAGCTCGTAAGGGCTGCGTCCCTTAAAAGCTTTGGTGATCGAAGACAACCAGTGATCAAAGTGCCTCGTAGTCGTAGCGTCGCAATTGGAAGGATCGACGAAGACAAGCCATGTGACTTTGGAGATGATATGATCAAGCTCAAGCCCCATATTTATCCACGAAGTAGAAGTTATGCAATTCGTAGAGGTGGAGCAGGTCTATTTTAATTAACATTTCTTAGCATGAAAAAATCAAATAAAATGTAACGAAATGGCTTGTTGTACTCTTGTTTAATAGTTTGTGAAAATCATTTGATATTCTTCTCTTTAGTTATTATTGGCTCGATTTCATCAGTCTCCAGGTCCTGGAGTGTTAATTCCTTGAGCCGAAGGTATGTGAGAAGGCTACAACTTGAAAAATGTTTGGATTCAGAATTGCTACGTACCGTTCTGTGAATTTGTTGCAATGAAAAATTGAAAATTTGTAAATTGTCTACTAGAATCTAGGATTATCCCTTAAAAGTATTCTTCAATTTCCTCTTCATATGTATAAAATGGTTAAAGCAATAATAATAATGAATAAATAAATTTTTTGGTCACTTGCAGTAGTCGGCATCATTGATTAAAAAGTTGTGTGGCGTGGGAAGGAGGAGATAATAGCTGGATTGGTTTATCGCATAGCCTTGCGATCTGGGCTTTATAAATGGTGCTGTTATGTTATTATTAACTTTTAAGGCAACAAAGACTGATGGGCCATGCCCATTAATTAACTCAGAAGGTCAACGAAATAGTAAAATACAGAAGTTTCATTAGGGCCATCAAAATAATATTGTTTAATTGAATTTCTGACTTATCTCTACATTCACCGTTACTTTACTCGCTTAGCCTAATTTTTTTGCTTAATTTTTAGATATGAATACAAAATCCGGATCAGTGTGCGCATTTCAGTGACTTGCTGCCTCAAGTCATCACCACGGTCGTCGATTTGTAATTTAATTGAAGATGGAGCGTTACATGGTTGAGTACAGCATACTCAAGATCTCTCTTTTCAATTAATTGAGCTGGCTTATCTGGTTGAAATTTCAAAATCTCCTTACAGCAGCCTATAAGTTTACTAGTTTAGTTTCAATTTAAGACTTCTGCCAGCAAGTAATTTTCATATAAATGACTAAATCCTCCTTTGTTTTAAAGTTTTGAAGGAGAAAAAAAAAATTTAAAAGATTTAAGAGGAGAGATGTTTGGAAAAAGGAAAATTTTCTAGGTTATATAGGATCTTACCAGACTTTTGTAGTAGAAAATAACTATGTCTTTTGACTAAAATAAAAAAATTCTAGTCTCTCACACCTTGATAAACTATGGACTTGTAAAAATATCAAAGTCCTAAAATCCTATCAGAGAAACTACTTTTTAAGAAGATTTGGAGGGTCTGGAGAGGAGTTTCATTCTGTGCTAAAAAGATTATATTTCAAAGAGATTTGGAGAATCATGAAGAGAGTCTCATCCTTTGTCGAAAAGAATGTCATATTTTGAATAGTTTTGAAGGCTCATTCTTTGTCGAGTTCACAAGACAAGATGAAGCTCCAACTTTCCTTAAAGAACTCATAAAAAAAGGAGTTGAGAAGAAAAAATATTTTAAGTCCATGAGACAAAACGGAGCTCATGGACTTTTTCTAAAACTTATCAAAACTAGAATCGACAAGAAAAATTATTCTAAATCTATAAGATAAGATAGAGCTCAGACTTTCCATAAAAATCGTCAGAAAAGGAGTTGAAAAGAGAATTATTCTAAGTTCACGGGATAAGAGAGAGCTCACAGATTTTTCTTAAAACTTGTCGAAAATAAGAGTCGACAAAAAAAATTATTCTAAGTCCAAAAGGTTTGATGAAGTTCAAAAAAGTGATATGAAAGAACTACAAAGTTTGAAGTAATAGTTATCAACAATTACCGTCAATTAAAGATCAGAGACACAAAAAATTGATTGTGAGCAACGTGGGTGACAGCGGTTATAAAGAAACCACGATCACATGCACTATCATGAGCGGTTATGGACAATGGGTGGCAGCTACATGCAAAAGCATTTATTAAGAGACCTATGAAAGGAGGAAGGCAATCGAGATACATTGTTTATAAATATTACAAAACTTTACATTATAGAGAAGGACTTTTTACATTATACACCTGCGTCCAAACTCTCTGCACACTGAAATTCTGCACTAAATCAAATACCAGCTACTAAGAGATTTAAAGTCATTCGTATTCATTATTCCTAGAGTCGTACGTTATCTTTCTACAAATTTACATTTCAGTTTGTTTATTTCTAGTCTATTTTGCATTTTCTATTCTTGCAATTACGTTCTTGTTTAGTATATTTTTGTAAACATTTACATTTAGTTTGATATTGTTTTTATTACACTGTTTTACTATTCATGCTATTTCTGCTTAATAACGTTGACCTCATTATTACGTGAAAAACATATTTAAAAGATCTCAAAAGGACTTAAAATTCAATTCCCAAATTACTCTTGATTTTATTTGTTTATAATTTGTAATTTTTGCCGTAAATAAGAGAATAAGAGGGAGAAAATTCTTCCCTTATTTAGATATTTAATAATGAGTAAGAAAGGTAATAAAATTTTTTATTATTCTAACTTTAAACCAAGCTAAATATTTAATTTAACAAATAAAAATATAAATGATAAATCTCATTGCATGAGTTACTAAAACTCGTTAAAATGAAAAAATTTCAAAAAATAAGGTTAGGAGAGTTTTTGAAAGAAAGAGATAGAAAAACTCTCTAATTCTTTTCCTCATATTTATTTAACTTTAAAATAAAGATTAATATCACTAATTTCTCCTTTTAATCTTAACATAAAATTCAAATAAAATTTAAATTATTTCTTGAAAATCTATCAAATAAATTAATTTCTTAAATTTTAAAATAAATCTATTAATCATTAACTTTGTCAAAAATTAGTCATTATAATTCAATCTAACACTTTCGGTCATATATAACAGTATTAATCTTTGTTTGTTTGACACCTATAATAACTTATGTGGCCAAAAACAACATTCTTACTATTAAGACGTTTTAGTTTTTTAATTTTTTGTTTTTGTCCATCAATTTAGTCGTTTTAACTATTTATCTTTTTTTTAAAAAAAACAGCTAAAAAGCTTTTATTTACTATATTTCTTTTTTATTCTTCTTTTAACACTATCATACATCATTACAAATCACTATTGCTGAAAACTATTATCATAAAAAATCAACATTGTCTGAAGTCACCATTATTGAAAATCACGTTGCCACGTGCTAACCTATTCCATAGCATACTTCCTCTGTGTCTCAAAACTTGGAGCTTTCCTACTTCCTTTGCATACTGCTATAAAACAATGTGTCCCACGTAGAATCATCCTGCACCGTCACTTGAATCCCATGAGCCCCACATAGTGCCTGCGAGTCATGGCACTGGTTTTGATGTGACAATTTTGTGGATTGGTGAGATTTAAAATCTTTAATATTCGAAAAGAATAACCATAAAAGATAGAAATAAAAAAAACAAAGAAAAATTATCATTAAGGTGAACGATTATGAAATTTATAAATGTAACGATGAAATGATTAAAAATTATGATTTTTATCTATGGTACTTTTCACCAACAATAATTTCAAACAATAGTAGTCAACAATAAAAATAACTAAACTGCCTAAATAAAACAAGAGAAAATAAAATGAGTCTTAGATTTTGTATAAATGCGAAAGCAAAATAAAACGAGAGAGAGAGTCCATTGGCGTCGGCGAAGCACCGACTTGTTAGTGAAAAGATGAAAAGATCCGGATTCAAGTTGTGGTGGAGATCAAATTATAGAAACTTTAGTGGGATTGCAACATTTGCGTCGTTGGTCACTACATGTAATCCAGTTAAATTCTTGTTAATTGTGACGAATTCCAGTCGTGTCCGTTGTCGATTGTCTGCTAATGATTCTAATATATAACAGTTTCTCGCCAATATTTTGGAACGAAACTTGCCAAACAATCCTTAAATGGTCATAATGAGAGGAAATAGATTAAGGTTCATCTATTACCTAGCTATGTAGCTGGTGATTTAACTTGTTTCTGAAAAATAACTATTTAATTATTTTATTAAATGTTGTTATATAACTTTTGAGTAAGGTAAATAAAATATTAAATAAGAAATTAAAAATATTTTTATCAAATATTATTAATATATTTTGATTATTTATTAATTTTTAACTAATGTTTTTAAGAACGTTCTTAAAAATTAAGTAATTCTTTTTTTTAAAAAAGTATTTTTCTAAAAAATTATAATAACCGTAATGTAATAAGTTTATTTTAAATGATATTTTGAGCTTGGACACTTATTTATAATTTTTTTAAAAATTTACTAGGCATTTGTGTAAACTAAAAATTTAATCTAACTTAAATCTCTATTTAAATATTTATTTTATGCTAGGCATTCAAATGTCAGCTAAAAATAACATTTAACATAGATTAAAAAGTCAATATAGATACAATTATTTTAAAAAGTTAAAATTTTTTACATCGATTGTTGTAAACAAATGAGTAAGTGCTCTTTTTGTTTAGTGTTAATATTGTTTTGAAAGTTCAACCAACGATTTTTAATAGTGTCAATATTTGCTAATATCATAAATGATGTCAATAGAATCAATATTTATTAATAATTTATTTTTTATTAAGTTTATAAATGAAAAATATGCAATATTAATAATATCGATACTAAAACAATTGAGTTAATAAAGAAAAAAATACAAAATAAAATAAGTTAAAATTATTATGTATATGGATATGATAAGAGTTTATGTTTGTCTATCACATAGTCATGATGCTAAATAAAGTTAAGAATGTAAGAATTAGTGTTTAGCATCTCTAATTTATATTGTTTTATTGGCACGAGTTTTTGAAATATTACATTTTAAATTAATTTTACATTAATTATAAAAGAACTTATTTAAAAAGTAATATATTAAATTGATTTCAAAAGCAACTGATATAAAAAGTTATATTTAAATTATTTTTTACATTAATTTCAAAAACAACTGATCTATAGTTTTATTTTTAATAAGCAAGATATAGATAATGTTTTAGTCTTTTAAGAAATTGTTAATTCTTTTAAAAATTTGAAAGATAAATATCAGTTTATAATTTAAAGCTTGGTCTTCGGAAAGCTTATAATATAAGCTTAGTTAGAGTTTCATTATAA